TAATAATTAATACAGTATAGTAATTAATTAATCATACCTTTCTTAATTTCTGCACTTGTTTCCATGGTTTCTCATCATCAGGTAACATACGCTGACTAACTCCTCCTGACTGACTGATCTCATTAAGACAGTAATCGCTAGGGTCTTCCTCCTTTTATAATGCACACTGCATATCCATACTAATGATAAGGACATACTTACTTGTAGTTCAAATCGTGTCAATGCTTGTTGTATTATGTCCAACACAACAGATGATTCATCAATTGTTATGTTAACCAAAGGTACCCCTGAGGATAATCTATTATTGAATACCCTCAGTGTGCAAGTAGGTACTGCTGTATCTCTTCTTCTGATGTACAGTTTCAATGGGCCAGGATATGATTGAGGTATATTATAAATGATATCATCACCACTCAATATTGTACTGGGATCAGCTTCTTCTCTTGATGATGAAGGCGTCAAATAATATTCATCACTTGCACGAGGTACACTGCACTTTCTGAGGCTAATACGCTAATAGTAGTTAATATCATAAAAGTACACTCAACATTATCCATCTTACCAATAATTCATTGACTGTCATTTTATGATCTACATGTATTGGGTGCAGTGTCCCCTTTCTCCATTTCTTATTAACCTGACTACCATCAATAACAATGACTGCTCTACCTATTAATAATAGTAATACAGTAACCCAGCCAGTTTGTGTGTGTGTGTGTATACTTTTAGCATTGGTTTCATCTTCATCACTGAATAATTCAGTTACATCTAAAAAAACAATATTTATATATAATATTTGAGATATTTCATACCTTCTAGAGTTTCATCTTGTTGTAGAGTCTTTTGACTTATTGGCATTGATACACAGTATGGTGGTAGGATCATGTATGAAAGATCACGAAAATCACAACTTTTGCATTTATCACTTTTTATGAAAGCATTGAAACAAGATGAATGTAACTGTCAAAACATACTTAAGATAAAGATAAATAATATATTATCGACTGACTGTTATTCCACACCATCCACAACGAAACCCAGTTAAGCACAGATCAGTAAAACACGGCTTAGTACACATTTCACATTTTGCATGGGATGTAAGGTTACCCTCTATCCAATGATGATCAAAATCAGTCTGTAAACACATACACCATGTAAAACAATGATTAACCCAGTGTGTGTCTGCATGTAGTTACTTTAGTGGTGCAGGTAGAGGAACACTCTTTACAGTTATTCAGTTCATGGCCAATACAATATTTATGAGCATATCTACGACAGACTGGATAGAGGATCACATGATAATCACATGATCAGGATCAGTTGTGCTAACCTTTACAATACATTGCTGATCCTGTTATTTTCTTTCTGCAAACATTACACCATTTCCTCTTATTAGCTGATGATTTAGGACCAATCCAAGTGTGACCAATAGGATTCTACACAATAATAGTAGCAATAATAACAAGAGTACTACAACTAATAATAATGATAATAAAATAATAATAATAATAATAATGATGAAAATAATAATAATAATAGTGTTACATACTGTTATCTGCTCCGACAGTAAGTGAGTACAGTCAACAGTTAACGAAGGCAAGCATCTCTCATGACACACGAAATTACACACTAGAGGAAAGAAAGTTATGATTACAGCTCTTTGCACAATGACTCGTTTACAACGCATGCGGCCCAATGAGATGGAGCAGCTGGCACACGTGTTCAGCTACATGCAGTTGTACTATCTCTACACTACATACACGTTGTAAGTATACATAGATACAGAGTGTGCATGTACGCGTGAAGCCAATTGCAGGAGTCCTGCAGTGTGGAAGAGTAGAACAAACATCCACATAATTAAATGTTTGGCTACAAAAACAGAGGCCACTCCTTTATAAGGTAAATGAGTATAGTTAGCCAAAAATAATAAACACAGAGACAGGGAATACTACGCAAGTGTGATAATAGTAACGATAAGAAGACTATAGGCTTTAGGTTATAATCCAGTCTCAAGATAGTAATAATATAATTTGGAGATCAAAGAGCTTGCAGCCTATTTTAGTCATGCACCCGGGTTTAATTTTAAATTTTAAAGGCTAACCCGTGCACATTTGGCCTTGGTTCTTTATCCCCCAAAGGACTTCAGTGCAGTGCTGGCAGTGAGTGAGCTTGTAGAAAGTTTTCTTCTTGAATTCATGTCCTGACGGTGGGGGGAATGGCGGTGGGGGAGAGGTAGGTGTAGTTGCTGTTCTGTGGATAACAGGGGCAGAGGAACCTCGCTCCAAACTACGAGGAGGCTTGCTACTCCTAACAGAGCCATTGACTTCAGCAGCCATCTCTAGCTCTCCTCTCAGCTTTCTCTCCTCTTCTCAAATTCTTCACTTTATAAATAATCGGTAAAATTAATGCACGTGGGCTGGGCTAAATCAAGTCATTAATAGTTATTAAAAGAAAAATGGCTTCCGAGGTGGCAGCAAAAGATGAATGGGTTAAGCTAAATGTCGGAGGAACTCTCTTTATGACCACAAAGACCACCCTCTGCAAGGAGAAGAAGTCATTCCTGGCCAGACTCTGCTTAGATGATCCTGATTTACCTTCTTTAAAGGTAAGAGAGAGAGATAGACCCATCCTTTTACCCCTTCCTATCCCTATGTTAGGATGAAACTGGTGCTTATCTCATCGATAGAGACTCTCGTTACTTTCCAGTGATACTTAACTACCTCAGGCATGGAAAGATCATTGTAGAGCCAACCCTTCACATTGATGGTATGGTATGCGCTTTAATTAAAGGCGTGACACATTCTACCATTATTAATCTTAATTACCTTAAAATTCTAATTTTAATTGCTTGTACTCATACTGAAGTACTAAATTAATTACTGTCAGCTAAAATTAAAAAAAAAATAGTAGAGCCAAACTACACAGCGAAATATAATCACGTTGATCAGGCCTGATTCTGCCTGAAACCAGGCCTGACATCAGGCATGGACCATGGATTTTGGGCAATCAGTCCTGATACAATCATGGAGTCAGTCACAGTACAGGCATGATAAGCATCTATACTGGATCGGGCCAGACTGACTTTCATGATTCGGCAATGATAGCCAACAGGGCTCTACCAGTACTGATTTTGTGCAACATTTTGAATCAGGCCTGAATATATTTGGCTGTGTAGTCTTGGGTCTGGTGCACAAGACTAAGAACGAAACCCCCTCCACTACATCACCCCAACACTTCAATTATTACTCACAATTCAAAACTGGATGCTTAGCTCACTGTTCCGTTACTCCAGACAATATAAATCACTTGTAATATGATAGTAGTGTTTAAAATTATTTTCCCGTGTAAGTCATTACATTGGTATTTTATTTTTAGTGTAGTCTATAGAATAGGTAGGTTTTCTTTGAATTAAAACATGTCTTTGATTTTTTTGGTGTCTTTAATAAATGGTAATCTTGCATGTACATTCAGTACTGCTTGCTATTCTGTAATTTACATGTACATGTAGCAATTAAAGTCACCAGATGAAGTAATTTACTAATTCACGTTTTATGTTTGTTATTTTGTAAACAAAGCTTAGCTCATTCATTGTGTCGAGTAAATAATGGGATTGTTTGTATCATATGATGACTCATAATGACTCATAATGACTCATGATGACTCATAGTGATGCTTGTGTGCTATTTTGTGCTTATTAGTGGCTACCATTTGTAGGGAGCAGTTAATAGCAGTGAAATCACACTAGCCATATATTAGTGCTTTGCTAATGATATCATTAGCCTCTTATGGAGTTGTTGTGTTTATACACAAACTAGCCTTCGTAAACTAACCTTCATATGTTTTCGATATTATAGCTATTTTTCTTTGAGGCCTAAGTGGGTGTAGTTTAGATTATAAATCGTGGGGATAACCACACCCACTGATTATAAGTGTGTATGCTGAAATGTTTTCGGAATCATAAACTTCAAAGAAAAAGTGTAATTTTGGAGAAATTTCTTCTAGTCATACAGGTATCCCATATTTTTGAGCAATTTTAGATAATCCAAAAATTTCTGCATAACATACATGTAAGTGCATGTACTACAAAAAAAATGAAAATTCTCACCTTGTCATTTTTGATGAAATTTGGCCAATGACCATGTATTATGGTACAGGTAGGGACTTTGGTCGAACTTTTGAGCAAAGTTTTTTGATTTGAATCAGCTCAAACTTATTAGTACATGTATATGCATTAGAAAAAATTATAAAAATGGAGAATTTTCTTTTAGTCACTTTTGATCAAATTCAGCCAAAATCTCTGTACTAATAGTAAAGGGACTTTGCCCTGATTTTTGAGGAACTTAAAAAATTTGTAAAAAATCTAATTTGGATTGGAATCAGCTCAAACTTGCTACACAACATAAGAACATGTATTTGTGTCAGAAAAAATTATAAAAATGAAGAATTTTTTCCTAGTCAATTTTGGTAAAATTTGGCTAAAATCCCTGTACTATAGTACAGGGACTTTGGCCTGATTTTTGAGCAAATTTTAAAATTTTGTAAAAAAATCCAAATTTGATCTGAATCAGCTCAAACTTGATATACAACATAAGGACATGTATACATATCAGAAAAATTATAAAAATGAAGAATTTTTTTCCTAGTCAATTTTGGTAAAATTTGGCTAAAATCCCTGTACTATAGTACAGGGACTTTGGCCTGATTTTTGAGCAAATTTTAAAATTTTGTAAAAAAAATCCAAATTTGATCTGAATCAGCTCAAACTTGATATACAACATAAGGACATGTATACATATCAGAAAAATTATAAAAATGAAGAATTTTTTCCTAGTCAATTTTGGTAAAATTTGGCTAAAATCCCTGTACTATAGTACAGGGACTTTGGCCTGATTTTTGAGCAAATTAAAAAAATTGTAAAAAAAATCCAAATTTGATCGGAATCAGCTCAAAGTTGATATATAACATAAGGACATGTATATTTATCAGAAAAATTATGAAAATTAAGAATTCTTACTTCGCCATTTTTCATGAAATACATGTACCATCCATGTACTATATAACATCCCAAGGTTGGGTGTTAATTCAAAAGGTGTGTATTGGTAGGTGGAGTAACCACACTTCGTGTACCATACCAGTTTTGCTTAGCTTGCAATGTGATTGTAGTGAACCCTCAAAATTCCTGTGTATTCTGATATCATAATTATTATTATTATTGCTTTTCACAGTAAGTACAGTACTATTGTATATGCAATGAGCAAATGTACATAATAATTATTAATTATTATTATTATTATTATTATTATTATTATACTCTGTTGTTTTTTGTCCTTCTTCTATTGATTTGTAGCAGCTGTCATATAGTGTGGCCTTGTGTTTTTGTAAACCATTATTATGCATTCACAAAGGAAACATCAAATACCTAGAATCAATTCAATGGGTTAGTAATAGCAATGGGCTAATAATGCTTATTACAGCACCCTGTTACATATAGAGGGAGTTTTAGGAGACCTTGGTTTAGCTCCCATATTTAGCCTAGCCCTCCTATTTTTTTAGTTTTTTTTTGTCCCTCATATTTGTAGCCTAAGTCTTTAAAGTCTCCAATTTTTAGTTAGATTATTCTCCCAAAATGTACTTCTCGATTTAGCAATGCTTATACACATGTATTTTTTTAATACTCGTATTTGCATGGTAATAGTAATCATCTCATTAAACAACTAAACACGATTAGTAAAAATATAATAATTATTATTATGTTTAAATTTTAAATGGTTTGGTTTATTCACACGAGAGAAGTTTGAGTCTTTATCCTGAATTACTCAAGTACATGTGTTAATAGTGTGTTTTTACATGGAGTGTACTCCTATACTATAGTATTATTAAGAGTAGTATTATGTGTGTGTGTATAGTATCATGTGTGTGTGGGTCATTTCAATGTAAACACCGACTGTTTAAAATACCAAATTTAATTTGTGTTATCTCATAACATGTTTCCATTATCTCCGCTATTATTACTACATTTATTTATGCGTGAGCTGTAATGCCTCCTACTAGTGAATGGTATATACACTTGTAGTACACACACACACTTTCTTTGGTTTGACACCAGCTCAATAAGCAAGCTGTAGATTCCACGGCATTTACTATATTCTGAGACTAAATTTATTTTTAAACTGATCATAAGATAACAGTAGGACCCAAGGCCTTTATTATAATATTATGCACTGAATGCATAATGAATGACAATAGATATAGAGAATACATCAGAGGCTCTCATTCTTGAATTGTTGTATTATATATAGAAAGATGTCCTTATTGTGCTGTCTATCTACTAGCCCTAGCTCTATAGCACCTGCTTTTATGAATACTAGTCAATGTATTGAGCTAAACCTATAGTCCATAGACACTATGTAAGCATTGTATCTTCATCCTTCATTGGCTGCCAGTGTATTTATAGCAGTGGTGGGGGTATGTTACTACAACCCAGACTCTGCAGTATAGGTGTATAAGGGCATAGATACACAGTATAATTATCTGTGATAAGAGAAAGTAATAGCCCATGAAACCATTGACAGCCCTGAATCAGTAGGAGGAGTACTCTAGAAACTAATGATGTATGTACATATTTAGAGAGGGCCCTACAGTGAAACCTCTTTATAGTGTATTGTTGTCCCTTTTTGTACTGATATCAGTTGTGTTTCTTATTTATCTGGAGTTGCTAAACACTTTCCCAAATCATTGTTTAGCCTGTTATAAAAATAAGCTAATGATTATACTATTGATGACATTGATACGTTACGGAAAGTATCACTAATGGTAATTCCTGTGGTACTCATTAACCTCTTGGGAGAGTACCCTCTACTAGTAAGGACTGTTGTTTTGTATATTAAAAACATTTCAAATATGAATATCAGTATTTATGGACCACAATTAACTTGTAAAATTTATGCCTCTCCTCCTCTCTCTCTCTCTCCCCCTCTCTCTCCCTCCCTCTCTCTCTCCCCCTCTCTTTCTTTCCCACTAGGTGTTCTAGAAGAAGCTGAATTCTACAATATCCAATCATTAGTTGAACAGTTAACTGAGAAGAAGAATGGAAGAGACACAACAGTAAGACGCATATGCAGTTACCAGTAATGTAATACCTGAGTCCCTTAATATCTGTCTACAGCTTCAGATGAAGCAGATATCTCAGTCCTCAAGTATTACATTACAGCTATACACACCTTGAGATACACTGGGCCTTATAGTTATACCCATACATGATGTGTGTTCTATTTTAGTACATTACATTGTTTTATTTTTAGGTACAAGTTGGTGACCAGAAGCAGGTGTATAGGGTACTACATTGCCAGGAAGGAGAGCTAACAAGAATGCTCTCGACCCTCTCTGATGGATGGAAAATGACTCAAGTAAGATAGCCTCCTATTATTATTATTATTATTATTTCACATGCTCCTCCCCTCCCTTCAGCTGGTTAATATAGGCTCTCAGTATTCATACAGTAGTGACGACCAATCAGAGTTCCTTGTTGTTGTATCTAAGGAGTTTGAAGACCCTCCTGCCGCGAGGTCGGATTCAAAACCAACCAATAAAGAGAGAGTATGTCAATTTTTGTCTAATAATCTCTCACCCGCCCACTTTAGGTTTTGACGGAACGAGGTTATAGAATATAATTTTTTTCAAAAATTGTGATGAAGTGTGTGGTCTTGCTGATAATAATAATAATGATAATAATAACTTTCTATTATTATTATTTATAATTAAATATTTACTATTTTTAGAGGTGGCAAATAGTTTACTTGTGAATGTATAATGTATGTATTTATGTATAATAATAATAATAATAATAATAATAATAATAATAATAATAATAATAATAATAATAATAATGTATGATGATAATTTAAATAATAAATTAATAATACTTCTAAGCTAAATCAAATAATTCTAATATCCCTTCCGTCGGCGATAAAGATGAATAAAAGTCATCTCCGTTGAGCGGTGGAGAGAGAGACTCAAATACATCAGCGGGTATAAACCCACAATCACCCGATAAATGAGAACTATTGATAGAGTGACTGCCATGGAACAACCCGTCCAGGTCTGAGTCATGGGGTGCGGCCATTGATCCGAGGGATATCTCTTTAGGCGTGTGAGGGGAGGCCATTTTAACGGGAGTACTAGCCACGGAGGAGGACGTGGTAGAGGAAGAATGCTCACTGTCTCCCTCCGGACAGACAAGGACGTCTATCGGGCCATTGGTACTGAGAAGATGCATTTTATATGTCTGTAGAGAGAAGAGAAGGAATATGTGAGTGCTAGCTAGGTGTATTATAAAAGTGTAGATTTATTCTATTATTCTTATTTTTAGACTGCAACTATACACAGACCCTCCTGCTGATTGGTACACAATATAATGTACACGTATTAAAAGTGACCAGTCAGTCTCAATAAGGTATCCCCTTAAGCTGAAGCTGAGGGCAGATGTCTAGGGGCACACACACACACACACACACACACACGTATTACATTACTGATACTCACTGAGACACCATACAACAGTTACATAATTTTAGTAGGTATAATGGTTGCATGTAATTAATAAAAGACAGTAGAAGGGATTGTGTAACTACCTCTTCATCATTGTCTTTGTCACATTCCATTATAGTATCAGAGGGAGCTTTGATTATCAGTAGCGTATTATCACCAAATTCCGATATATTTCTGAGATCGTGATATGAAGTATAAGCAAAACTAAAAGAAAAACAACAAATAATAAGTGGTAGTCTAATTGATAACATTGAAATAATAGTACTAGTTATAGAAATATCCTATACCTCCAGTTTTCTCTATCATCCATTAGTTTCTTCAGCTCTTCTTTACATCTATTGATTTGTTTGTCCAGCTTGCTTCCTTCATTTTTCCTTTGTTCTAAATGTTCCTTTAGCTCGTGTATATGACTAATCTCTTGTGGCTCTGAAGCTCTATACATGAGAGAGGGAGGGAGGGGGAGAGAGGAGGAAAATTAAGTAACTATACAATGACACTAGCACTTTGTGTTGTTGTGGTAGTATTTCCCCATTAATACCTAATTGGGTATCTCTCTCTGTCTTTCCATCATACATTTCTAAGTATTCCAAAGCTAATAGACCATACAGTAATACTGTATATACAGTCTATGTTGATAATGCTAGCACACAGCCCACCCTGTGGTTTGACATAACAGCTGAGAGAGACAACCCACCATTAAAAGATAATATTAAGTTGTCTCCATGCATAGTCCCTTACCTCCATTGAATGTGGTTCTTGCTCGCTTTAGTGATAAGTCCAACTCCCTCAAGCACATTTGTTATGTCGTATATTCGTCTCTTTTGTACACTCAGCGTATCTGCTGCCTCGTTTAAGTCTAAGACTCCATCCGGCGAGGCATGGAGTAAATCACAGAACTTTTTAGTTAGAGTACCCAATGAAGTCTCAGGCTTACGATCAGGACCTAAAGTGATGGATTAATATGGAGTCATGTGGAAGTGCGTGCGTGTTCTCTTACGTCCTTCCTCGTTACTGGTTGTAGAAGAAAGACGTCTTCTTTTAGAGCCAGCTGCTACCGCTACGGGGTCCATCTCCAGTCTTCTCTTTGCCTTTGGGAGGAGAGGAGAGAGAGAAGGCATATTAAACAAAGCAAAGGGCGTCTGTGAGAGACTCAGAAAGAGGCGACGGGTCTCAAGTGACATGTAATACAAGAACATGTGAATGCCTTTTCGGCTACTGAGACGCACAAACAAACGCGACGGCTTACCAGTGATCCGTTCATGGAAGACCGAGTCTCTCCACCAGGGGTTTCTACTTCGGATACAGCTCTGCCTAGCCTCGATGAGGGTGTTCCTCCAGGAGCTACTGCCGTCATTGTAGACTCTCAGACGATACAGGGAAAGAAACGAAAGACTGTCAGCTTTTCTCACACCAAACAGAATGGACTGTTCCCACTGAATGGCAGTTTATTAATGAAGGCACGCCCTTGATTAATTATTCATTGATGACATCAGAAAACATGAACACAGTAGTTTTTAAAACTATTTTTTAAATGCAGCATCAAAATTAAAAAAATAAATCATAAAGTAGAACAATAAGTACTAAGTACTTCACAAAAACAGCAGTTTTAAGTAAGCGTCACAATATATTTTAAAGTTTTTTTAGTTCATTCATTTTATTCTTTATCGTCGTTATTTCTTGTATTTCTACCGTACCTCTTCTCAAACTCTTCCTGTATATCCTCAAGTTCCTTTCCCCTTGTCTCAGGTATCAAAAAGAACACAAACGGAATACTCAAAGCAGAAATTGCACCGAAAGTCCACCACGCACCGTAAGGATTCACCAGGTCTTCGTATGGCTGAAAAGCAAATGTGACAATGGTTGAAAAGGTCCAATTGACAGCCGTTGTTATTCCGCTGAGGATACCACGGGTCTGTAGAGGGGTCAGCTCACCCATCATTACCCACGGGATGGGACCCCAACCAATAGAGAACCCAATTATAAAGACAGCAAGACACACAACAGCAAGATATGAGAACTTGTTGGAATCGTCAAGATTGGTATGATGAGCAGTGAGGTAGTAATAGACACCTAATCCAATGGCACTGAGTGACAGGAGGAGTCCACCTGTACATAGCAATATTTTCCTGCCCAACATATCTATGAGTACTACAGACACGAAAGTAAAAATAACTTGGATGACTCCAACACCAAAATCAGCAGCTAGATTAGCATCTTGAACTTTAGCAGTCTTTAAAACGGTCCCGGCATAAAATATGATAACATTAATCCCACAAAACTGCTGGAAGAACATAAGAAATACTGCAAATATCAGCGGGATGTACGAGTATTTGTATCGCAACATTTTCAGTTTATCCACGAGGGATAATTCAGCATCCCTTTCCAGTCCCTTGTCCAAAGTGCTCATCTCCTTCTGGATATTGGCCCTTGGGCCACGTAACTTGCAAAGGATACGGTTAGCTTCAAGGCGTTCATTATTAGCCATTAGCCAACGAGGGGTTTCTGGCAAGAAGAGAACCACAACAACAAATACCAGTGACAAGCCAGCTGCTACCAAAGCTCCGTAATAGTAACGACAAAAAGATGTCAACAGGTATATTATTAGGATACCTAATGTCACTCCTAGCTGGTTCAAGGCACCAAATAATCCTTTAAGACTAGCAGGGGATATCTCCAATATGTACACCTACAAGAGAACAATAAAGATGACATGAAATGTGAAATACATTACACATGTACATGTATAGCTAAAGTTTTTCTTTAAAAACAGGAAGAGGTGTACCACTTTTCCATTCAAATTGGCAACAGTTGATTTTAATGATGCTATTATCAATTTCATTGGAACGAAAGGTAATCATAACAAAAGCTGTAGCAATAACAGGAGTATGCAGTTATTGCAATAGCATGAGCATAGAAAGCAAACTGGGAAGAGAAAACAATACAAATTAATCAAATTGGAGCAATCTTGAAGCATTCAAGTCTTTCAATTTTAAACCACAAACTCATTTTGTGTTTAAAAACTTACCGGGACAACAAGAGAATAACAACCAGCTGCTAGCCCGGTCAAAAACCGCCCAACCAATAGCATTACTAGCACAGGAGTGGAGTTATCATCCCTAATGAAATACCAAGAGCCAGCAATGACAGCCCAACCAATAACACAAGGAATGCTCCCAACCATAAGTAAAGCAGTACGACCAAATTTATCAGAGGCAACGCCAGTAAATGTGGCCCCAATAAGAGCCCCAACATTAATAATACTCTATAATAAGAGAATCCGTTATAATAAAGAGAATCTTGATATTATGCAACGACTTACCCCAATGTATTTAAAGTTTTTATCAGAGGGTACGGCCATTGTACCAACATTGCTAGAAAGGTCTAGCTGAGCAAGTGAACTGTAGCCTAAGGCAAAACCAGTGAGCACTGCTCCCAAAGCTGCGATACAAGAGTAAAGGAAAACTATACGTAGCCGCTGCTCCCCTGATGATATTTCACGATAGAGTGCCACGAGTGGATTAACATTTTTAGACTTGTCCTCTTGTGTAGAAGATTGTATGGAGTTGTCTGGAATGGTACTGTACCTTATATCACCGTTTCTATTGATGGGAGAACGTTCAGAAGACATCTCTGAGGCGATACCTGCTCAAGAAGAAGGCGACGATGAACGGACTTTGAACTAATGGGTGTGAGGGGGGTGAGGTGGGGGTAGGGCTATCCTGCAAGATCACGTGACTGTAAAACATAATTATTCATAGATTAGACTTTTCAGTCAGACCAGTGAGATCAGATCTGTAATGAGAGGGCTAAAGTCTGAAGAGCAGGCCATTATTAGCAGCTTAGCAAGTTGCTAAACTCTAAAACCAAAACTTTGCAAAAAATTGATGAGCCCCACCCTAAGTAGGTGTGGACATGCAGATATTTATGACCCCCCCTACTTGAGGGTGTGGTGACAAGATGTCTCCATACCGTTATAGTTTTTTCCAGTATGCTTTGATACTCTCTGCTGGATGCTGCGGAGCACTGGCCGTCCTCAGCCTCCCCACTATAGCTGTATTCGCTCTCATACTCATCGCCTTTCTCTCTTATGCCCTAGTTCGTTACGTTTTTTATCATCCCGGAGGCCGGGTCTGGAGACTAGCCATCAAACCCTACCTGACCAGCAGGCTCTTATTATCAGCCAGTCCCGCCAAATCCACCTCAAAGAGATCCGAGCTGGTACACAAAGAGGCGCAAAAGTTCATCCAGCTCATAATAAGGGACTTTATAGTAAGCTGGTACAAGCAGATCTCGGAGAACCCAGAGTTCCCACAGGAGACCGTGTGTCTCTTGGAACACTTAGCTAACGACTTGCAGGCCCGAGTTGCAACCGTCGACATTCGCTCGACAATCCTCTCTCTCCTCCCTCTCCTTGATCCTTATCTGACAGCTCTTAATGAGGTTGGGTATGTTAATGAGAGAGGGAAGAGTACATTTGATGTAACCCATACCTATTGCCTAATGCTTTTTGAAAAGAAACCTCATTTAGTGCACCCGGCATTGAAGAACAGTCAAACCGAAGTCGAGCACCTCCAAAGGCTAGTAGACACTTTTATTAGTAGCAGTAATGTCATACCCTCTAATTACAAGCAATGCGATATCGCCGTCCAATTTATACGTGAAATACTGGTCTATCGGGTTTTTCAGCCTCTCTTTGATCTTGTTTGCGAGCCAGAGTTCCTCCTAAGAGGCATACCACTTTTACTAGCCAAGGCAAGCGACGAAAAGATACGCCAAGTCATGTTAGATATTGAAGCAGAGAACCTCATACTCGATAAACACTTAAGCCAACCTACCGGCCTACTGACGCCATTTACGAGCTTGCCAGCGCCACCGCCCATTCACATACCTGACTCAGCACGTTATACATGTAGAACCTCCTACCCTCACAGAATGGGAAGGGACTATCAGTATCCTCCTAGCAGTGCTTCAAGCAATGGTGGGATGATAGATGATGAGCTCCTTGATTGTACTGATGATTCTGTTTATGTTAATTTGCCGCCAATTTACATTGATAAACACGTGAGGGTTGATACTAAGGATGGAGTCCACACTGGATACATAATCAAGGTTGTTGTTGTTATTATTATTATTATTGTTATTGTTATTATTATTATTATTTTAGTTTCCTTCCAAGATGCTTGATGAGAGTCAACTCTTGTCTTTACACCTTGAAGAAGAGACTGAGTTGGAAAGTTTAAAAAGATACAGTGAGTTTGCTAGCTTTCACAAGACACTAAGCAATGGGCGATACAGTCATGTGGCTAAAGGTGAGTAATTACATATAGAAGATGTACATGTACCTGAAATATATCCACATAAAAAAGCATCTGTAATAAGGACACCTTTATAAGTACAAATTAGAGTACCTTAGAAATGAGGACACCTAAAAGTGTTTGTAGTAGAGGCTACAGTTACACTGAGTCTAGAGGGGTGTGTTATTGGTCAATGTATCTGGGCAATTAGTACAAGTGTCTGGTGTTTGTTGTGGCTGTGTACATATATGTCATCTTTTTGTCTGTTTTAAAAATAAGGTTTGTGGGTACATGTACATGTACATGTCAGTGTGTGTTTGTTAGCATGTGATGTGCATGTGCCAGACTGTTTATTTATTTATTTATTTATTTATTGAACTTTGCATGTCTATAACTGTAGGTCTTTCTTTGCCTGACAGACGGATCTTTTCTCACATCATTAATAAAATACCTTTCTCTTCCGGCGAGCCTGACCCAACCACCATCTTGGAGAGAAAGGAGGGCTTAGAAAGCTACCTACAGGTAAGTTGGTTCTTTCTAATTCCTCCAGCTGCTTCTGTTATTTAAAAAGGTCACTCTCTTCATTGCCTTGTGGTGTGTGTCATACATATCTAGCTAGCCACAGTGTTGTTTTACAGTGATCAATGGGTCCTCCCTATTGCCATGGATAAGAATATATAGGGAAGACATGTTATTGTGACCAGAGCAGATTAACAATATGAATTAGTAATGGGGGAGGAACAGGGTTTCCCACAATGAAGTGAGCTCATTAGTATGTTGAATGAGCTTACAAGCACTACATGTTTATTGAATATAGTGCATGGCGTTCGGAGCAATTTTAAAATTCATAAGAATCTAATTTCGATAGGAATCAGCTCAAAATTTCTACGCAACATAAGTACATGTATACGTATCAGAAAAAATTATATAAAAGTGAAGAATTCTATCCTTGGGATTTTTGTTGAAATGCCCTATACTACTGAGTACAGGGTTTTTGGCCCAATTTTTGAGCAACTTGACAATCCACTGACAAGAAGCTTCATAAGCACTATGCCAACATCCTGTAGGAGAGCCTGCATGGTGAGAGACTGAAGGGATGTTTAGATATACTGACTGATATGTTGAAATGATTATTTTTGTGATAATAGACTCAGTTTAGAGTCTGTTTGGGAATAGAAGCAGTAATACTTTGCCATTAAAATGACATTAATATTTCTCTACTGCATGTATGTACGAAATGTGCTTAATACTGTATCATGTAAATTATTATACACGTGTGCTATTTCCATGTGCATGTATTTATAGAGTGTTGTAGCTGTGAAGGAGATAAAGGAGAGTCCTGAATTCAGACAGTTCCTATTTTCTGGTGTGACTTCCTTACAAGAGGCTCAAATATTCAGCACAAGGCCAGGCATGGCTAGAAGGGACTGGAGAAAATCCATGGCAGTCGAAAAACCAACAGTAAGCTAGTTTAAATGTATTTATTACTTTTGCATTGCTGTCCATTTTAGATTCAGTCGGAGCAGCCGTTTTCCGACGTCCTTGTATCATTTACTGAGAGTCACGATCTGCCAATGCCACATAAAGGAGGAGCCTTGAACACATGCAACTCTCCATCTAATAGTAACACTGATGAAGGAGGACATACTAGTACTAGAACTGGGCCAGTAGCCTCTACAGCTAGCGACTCTATTACTGTACAAGATGTAATGCAGTTAATACCCACAGCTGTGTGGTCCTTTTTCTCCCGAGAGCTGGGAAGAGGTGTGGTCGATGATCATGTGACTCTAGCTGCCGAGAGAGAGGCGGAGTCGCCGCTAATGAACTCACTGTTAAGCCTCGCCAATGAAGCCACAAGAACGACGAGCCCTGAGCTATGGATAACGTCAGAAGGAACCCAGTTAGGAATATTGGGCATCTGTGGAGATACCCTGGACTCTTACCTAATGAATGCAAGTAGCTTATGTATATATACATCTAGTAAAGGGCATTTCATCAAAATTGGCCAAAATTAATTAGAAGAGCATGTTCTTGTTTTTGTGGTGTAGATATTTGACTCATAGATCATGCTTTTTAGCCTGACTTAGCATGCTTTGTGGCAAACCCTGCAATGGATGTACATAAAAATGCTACAATTGTATACTTAAATTGTTATAATATTTACTTTGCTCATTTCTTTTTTTGCAGGAGCTGTTAGAAGTTGTGAGTGATGAAACAAGATGGGCCCGTGCTTTATATAACCTGCGTCACCTCCTCTGGCCCAATGGAGGCGAACTGTCTCTATCCTCCACCCCTCCACTGACTGATACACAGAAACGACAGCAGAGGCAAGAAGCAGTCGACGAAATAAAGAACTTTTTACCAAGTAAGTTGTATGGTATGGTATATGCATTTTATAGTTTATGATGATAATAGATGCATTGCCTTGGCTCATTGGTGCTGGCTCTTATGATGAAGCTATTGAACATTGTCTGAACTACATTCAAAACCCTAGAATTAACCGGTAAAATAACAACACATAATGCTTATTATAATGGTAAAGTAATAATGATACTTTATTGTGTATTATTCTGTAGGCACTTTTTATTTCGAGCGTTGGATATTCTCTTTTCTCAGATAGTCCCTGAAGTGAAGGATACTGAGTTTCAGGACCGTTTGGTCAAAATGAGGTCCAAGCCAAGTTTTTTATCACTTTCTTAATTTTTTTTTTGCTTTTTTTCAATTTTTAAATTTTAATTTGTATTTAAATTTAATTAAACATTTATTAAGAATAAAATGTCTGACACTGAGTTGTTCTCTGTACTGGAAGGAGCCAGCACTAGGAGTGATTTACTGGATGTGTTGGGAGAATTCACAGACGCTAATGATCCCCGACTATTGCTCTCTCTTGCTAAAAAGTGTCAAGAGCATTCAATGTACAGAGAATCTGAGGCTCTACACGAGAGGGCATTAGAAAAGGCACCACTAGCTCCTGCCATTAAAGAGTCTTTGCGCCATTTGTATCTCAGTATGGTCGACCGATGGCATTATTTGATGCTAAATGATATACAGCGTAACTCAAATTATTTTAAAGCTATTTTGAGCACCGTAAGATCAATGGAGTCCTCGTCCACCACAGTGCTGGACATAGGGGCAGGGTCTGGTATATTGAGGTGCGTGCCTTATATTTAATAATTAATTAGTAAATCAATTGAAATTTAATTAGGGCAGGGCATTTTAAATAGTAAATATGGCTCGATTATTATTTCTGATACATATGGGTATCTCTATGCTATGTTGAAAGTTTGAACTGGTTCCGACAAAATATTCCAGAATTATGAGAGTTTTTTAGAAGTAAATTTTAAAAAAGCAAAGGTGGCCCGATTTTTTGTAATTTAAAAAATTTGTAAAAAATCTAAACTTGATCGGAATCAGCTCAAACTTACTACACAACATAAGAAGATGTATATGTATCAGAAAAAAATTTTAAAATAGTGAATCCTCTCCTAGTCATTTTTGGCAAAATTTGGCAAAAGACCCTGTACTATAGCCTTTGCTTTTTTCTGAAAATTGACTCCGAAATTACCCCCAATTTTTATTACATTTTCTGTTATATATTGATGTTCTTGTACTGTGTAGAAAGTTTAAACTGATTCCAAGCTCAAATTCTGGAGCTATGAGCATTTTAAAGTTGTCTGAGTTACTATGATATGTAAGTATATTAATCTTAATTTCAGTTTGATGGCAGTCAGAGCCGGAGCAGTGAAAGTGTTTGCTTGTGAATTGAGTGATGTTATGTGTGAGCTATGTCAAGATGTGATCAGTGCTAATGATATGTCGGATCAAATTGAAGTGATTCATTCCGTATCAACAGAACTGACTCAACTACCTGAAAGGTAATTTTAAAAATAATAAAAAATAGTAATAATGATTTTCTTTTAGAGTATCCCTTATAATAACCGAGACGGTGGATGCTGGTTTATTAGGTGAACTGATAGTACCTTCTTTGAGACATGCTTGGACCACATTCCTTCAGCCGAATCTCACCAATGGTCACATGATAGTACCTCATGTGATACCTTGTGGGGCTACAGTGTACGTCTGCCCAGTTGAATGCAGTGAAATACGGAAACAATCAAAGTTAGTTTTAGTAAGAGCTGATTTTTAAAAATGACAAGTACTATTTTAAAACTTTTTTCTTGTATAATAATAATTAATTTAATACTATTATATTTTTATTATTACTATTATTGTTATTATTATTATTATTATTATTATTATTATTATTATTATTATTATTATTATTATTATTATTATTAGGTTGCTCAATCCTCAGCTCCTCCCTCTCACCCATCCTATTCAAATTACTGGTAGTTGTAAGTTCAATGATACTCATTCATCCTTGGTCCAAGAGCCTTACTCCTGTGAGAGACTCTCGGCCATTAGAGGCTCCTTCAAGTACCTGTCATCTCCTCAAGTTGCTCTCTCCTTCAATTTTGCTGACCCAGCGGTATTAATATTGAATTGTTTGTTTTGCATTTGGGAATATTATCATTCATTAACAAGTATTCTTTGAGTGTTGGTTATTTCTTTTCAAGTGAATCTTCACACAAATTATCCACTCAACCCACAACCATATAATATGTATACGTTATGTCAACATGTACTGTGATTGATAAATCATACATTCACTTTGATCCCTTGCTAAATTCACTTTAAAAATTATTGTGCCATTAAAGATACATGTATTATAATACTATCTTTTTTTCTTTATGCAGGTACCACTTCCCCCTCCTAACAACCTGTCCTTTCCCATACTTCATGAAGGAAGGATGGACTGCCTAGTAAGTTGGTTCACACTCCATCTTGACAGAAACCATCACATCTCAACTTCGCCCTCGTCCTCCACCTCATGGGAACAAGCAATATTCCCTTTTAATGAGACTCAAGAAGAGTACTTGCTCTTGTCCAAAGGCTATACACTACCAGTCCTGGCTAGTTGTACTGATACTGAACTCGTGTTAAGGATAAATCAGGAATCAAGTAAAGAAGATGATACTGATACTGATATCAATGCTCATAGTGTTGCTGCTCCTCTTGGCAGTGATGTTGTCTCACGTTATTACGTTGAGAGGAGTGAGCTCTTACGTCTTAATGATGAAGGGTATATAAATAGAGTAATGAGTGCATTGAGATCCTTTCAAGAAGAGGAGGAGGAGGAGCTAGAGGAGGAGGAGGGAGAGGGTGTTACTGTACTAGATATTACTGACCTACCATTGATTTCATTGTTAATGGTTAAAGCAGACAATAAAACTGGAGGGAACTCACCAGCTGCTGCACTTAAAGATAGTCCAATCTCTACAAACTCAATGGTTGGCATGGAGTATGTGCTACTAGGCAGTACTAGGCCTTATTATGAAGAGCTGGTACAACAGGTGATAGAATCTAATGGCATTAGAGACAAGGTCTCGCTAATGTCAATTTCTGAGGCTCATACTCTTGCCAATGGCGATCTGTGGGACATTATCTACTGTGAACTGATAACACCTCAAGGGACATTGAACACTCATTCAATACAGCTACTGAGATTAATCAGGTAATTTACTAGTAAAATTATCATTATTATTATTATTATTGTTATTATTATTATTATGCTTTTATTTTTGTTTTTTAAAATTAGGCCAGATCAATCCCAGTTGTTATGTCATACGGTACAGTTACATGTTGTGGGTGTGGCTAGTCCGGCATTGCGAGCTCATTCATGTGTCTTGGGGACTGTCCCTACATTAGGGTTTGATATAGCTAGTTATATCAATAAATATCAAGTTAGTGATTATCATGCAAGGTTGAGATAAATTAGTAATTAATTGTTATTAGGTTAGTCATTATACAGATATTAATCTGGAAACATTTCCTCATGAAACTGTTACTAAAAATAGTAACGTATCGCTATCACTATCAAACTATTGTGATGTAAGCCAGTAATAATTATGATGATGAAATTATTATTATTATTATTATTATTATAAGAAAGACACAAAACAGACAAAAGGGGGACAAAAAGGGAGGACCCTGTACATAGAAAGAAAAAAGAAACAAAAAACAGAAAGAGAAACTACATGTACAATAAAAAACAAAGTTAAATGAAACCATCTACCACTGATGGAGGGGTGGTAGATCAACATAACCACATCTGTGCATTGAAGTGCCAGAGAGCTATAGAGAGTCTTTATATTATTATTATTATTATTATTATTATTATTATTATTATTATTATTATTACTATTAGATTGAAGTGGATCTGTCTATAGATGTTATAAAAACTGAGTCCATTACTGGTTTCTGTTACTGGTTCACTCTTTGCTACCATGACAACCAGTCCTTGTGTACAGGTCCTCACTCGTACGAAGGAGTAAGCGAAATAAACAATTTATGGCTCTCTTTATGCAGTCTCTGTTTTTTATTAGAGTCATTGGCATCAAGCGGCTTTTCTATTAAAAGAAGATGTGTCTGTATCGGAAGGTCAGACCCTACCTGTCCATGTTTCAGTGCAAGATGGAGCGCTTGACATTAGACTAGTAGAATGAGTGGTGTTTGGGACAAGCAAAATTTTGTAGTAATTTTTTTAATTTTGATTTCAGGTAGTCACTATAGTCATTATTATTGTCATTGTGCCAATTACTCATTCACTATCTGAGTTTGTTGCCAGAAATACTGGAAGCACGGCACATTTCTAAAGGCAGCAGTACTATAATGACTATGATAAGGATTGATGCTCTCTTTTTTTTTGTTCTCTTGGTCTGTTCTGTCACTGGAAAGCCAATTAGTCCTGATTTTGGCTACAATCTTACAGCCCAAGGGGGATGTGGCACTGCAAAATTTGTTTATTTTGAACACTTAAATAGAGCAACTTTGTTAAAGGCTCAAGAAAATTTATGCCTCAATATTCCAAAGGCAATAGAAGCAGTTGATAAAGATCCAGAGCGGTACAAGAAATGGTTTGGCGAGTATTCAAAAAGTCGCAGTGATGTTGTGAAGGAGAATTTCCAGAAGTTATATGATGGCTTGGCTAAGTCTACTCTTATTTATCAGAATGCAGGTCCATTGTGTGACTATACTGGAATGACGGGACACACTTTTGGACCGTGGGTAGGCATAATGTATACTTGTCCACTCCTTTATTCTATACCAACACTCTGTTTGGGATCAGATCAGAAGTCAATTGAAGGCACTCTGCTTCGTGAATGGATGTTTAATTTTGCTTACACTTATCCTGGTGGCTATGGAGCTATAGAAGCTAAAAGGAGAGCTGAAAAGGAGCCAGATAAAGTCATTCATATTGGAGATAATTATGAATACTTTTACTGCAAGACTCCCTGAGTAGAGTCAAGAGTTCAAAGGATGGAGGAATATAAGGACATTATACAATAACATTTCTTTCTAAAATATATTTACTGAATATTATTGTGATGTTCTCAATAATATAAAAAATGTGTTATTCTTTCACACTATTATCAGTAGTACTATAATGAGTTAATCTGCCAAATTTTTATTAGCTGTGCTGCCAGGAGTAGCACAGTTTGTTCCTGTTATTCACTGCATAGACAATGAAGGCTGTTCTCTCCCTTCTCCTGGCCTATGTTGCTATCACTGGCTCAAAGTCAATCAGTGATGATGCTGCAGAAGATTCTGTCTACAATGTTACAATAGAGGGATGTGGAACTGCCAAATTTGTTAATTTTGATGATTTAAACAAAACAACTCTTGTTAACATTCAAAAGAGTATGTGCCTCAATCTTCCAAAAGCAATAGAGGCAGTTGATACAGATCCAGAACGATACAGAAAATGGTTTGGTGAGCATTCAAAAAGTCGCAGTGACCTTGTGAAGAGGAATCTCCAGAAGCTATACGATGGCTTGACTAAGACTACTCTTGTGTACCAGAATTTTCAAATGCTGTGTGACTTTGCTGGGTCTACAGCACATTCTGGTGGCCCAATTCTCAAAGTGATGTTCACATGTCCACTGTTGTATACACTCTCCCCTTTCTGTGCTGGCAAGAAACAGAAGACTATGGAGGGAATAATTCTACGCGAGTGGATGTTTGCTTTTGCCTTTACTTATCCGAGTGGGATTGGAAGTGATATCGCAAGGATAAAGGCTAGAGATAATCCGGATAAAGCAGTAAAGATTGGAGATAATTATGAATACTTTTATTGTAACACTGAGTGATTGGAACAGTGAATTAATACATGATAATTTATGCATGTTTATTATCTTCTTGAAATAAATTAAATAACTTTTTTCAAAAATAATGATAAATTGTTACAACTCATTATCGTGCCAAAGTTAAAACAGGAAATGAATTGAAGCAATTTTGAAATTTACATAAAAAAATAATTTCGTAGCAAAAATAATTAGTATAATAATAAAGAAACGTTTATAAATTGTCACTTGTCAGTAGTAGCTACTCTTGACATCAGATTTGATAATGTTAATAGATTAACATTACCACCACACAATACAATACCAATCTGTAGAAAACACAATTATTATAAGTATTGGTATTACTTATACAAGGTACCTTCAATGATTTGTCCATTCCAAATAATTCTTTAAATTTTTCAGTACAAACTGCAGCTAATGGACAGGCAGCAGATGGCTCTATAACTACCTAATGAAATAGTATTCATAAAAAAAATTTTAGAGCAGCTTTAAAATTTAAAAAATTCCAATTTTGACTGGAATCAAATCAAAATTTTTATACAACATAAAAACATGTATATGCACCAAAAAATTATATGAAATGAAGAATTCTCTTCGAACAATTCTTGATGAAAGTTGGCCAAATCCCTGTACTATAGTACAGGGACTTTGGCCTGATTTCTAAAAAACTTAAAAATTTGTAATTTTGATCATAATCAACTCAAACTTGTTACACAGCATAAATATGTATTTATGTATCAGAAAAAAATACAAAAAGGGAAAGTCCCTCTAATATTTCTATATGTTAATACCTTAAGTCGCTCAAATACAAGTCTCATAGCAGCAATAGTTTCCTCATCAGTCACTCTTATAACTCCATCCACTGATTTCCTTATGATGCTCCATGGTAGCTCTGTGATACTGACTAACAATCCATCACATATGGTTTGAGGTGATTCATCTTGATTAGGTATAAGTCGACCTAATAAAAGTATAAAACTTCAATGGTCACTATAACTATCTTAACCTGCTTCCAGAGAATTGGCACAATCATCAGCAGCAGTAGGCTCAGCTCCGATCACTTTAATATTTGGATTAATCCCCTACTAATACTCAGTAGTATAAAGTTATATATTAAACTGACTTTAGCAGCTATAGCTATTCCACTTATCATTCCACCACCTCCAACACTAACTACTATAACATCTAAATCAGGAACCTATCGACCATACACGTGACTATATAAATATAGTGCTCTTTACTTGTTCTAAGAACTCTAATCCCATGGTACCCTGCCCAGCAATTATATCATCATGATTGTGTGAAGACACAAAAACTCCTTGCCATTAAGAGAAGCTAAGACTCATCA